TGAAACATGCATAACTATGTACCTGTGACATTCAGTAGTGACATAAGTGAAATCTTAGAAATGTGACATACAGTGATGAAACATGCAAAACTATGTACCTGTGACATTCAGAAGCGACACATGTGAAATCTTAGAAATGTGACATACAGTGATGAAACATGCAAAACTATGTACCTGTGACATTTAGTAGTGACATGTGGAATCTTAGACAAATGACATTCGGTGATGAACATGCAGACTATGTATCTGTGACACTCATGATACCTGTAAATCTTATAAGTTGAATCATAGACATGTGCAATACTGTAATAAGAATGCAGAGATATACACTGGTGACACTCAGTCGTGAGACATATTGAAACATATACAAATTACATTCAAAAGTAAGACACACAGAACTAAACACAAGTGATATACTGTGATGAGAAGGCAGAACTAAACACAGGTGACATTTGACAGTGAGATATGCAGAACTATACGCATGTGACATTCAAAAGTGACACATGCAGAACTATACACAAGTGTCATACAGTGATAAGACATGCAGAACTATACACAGGTGATATTCAACAATGAGATATACCTAACTTTACACAAATTACACTCAGTGGTTAGACTTGCAGAACTATACATAAGTGACACATACAACAATGATGAAACATAAAAAAAAACAATACAAAAATGAGATTTAATAGTGAGTCATGCATTTAACAGTCAGACATGCATAACTATACACAGGGGACATTTAACAGTCTGACATGCAGAACTATACACAGGGGACACTTAACAGTCAGCCATGCAGAACTATACACAGGGGACATTTAGCAGTCAGACATGCAGAACTATACACAGGGGACATTTAACAGTCAGACATGCAGAACTATACACAGGGGACATTTAACAGTCAGACATGCAGAACTATACACAGGGGACATTTAACAGTCTGACATGCATAACTATACACAGGGGACATTTAGCAGTCAGACATGCAGAACTATACACAGGGGACATTTAACAGTCAGACATGCAGAACTATACACAGGGGACATTTAACAGTCAGACATGCAGAACTGTACACAGGGGACATTTAACAGTCTGACATGCAGAACTATACACAGGGGACATTTAACAGTCAGACATGCAGAACTATACACAGGGGACATTTAACAGTCTGACATGCAGAACTATACACAGGGAACATTTAACAGTCAGACATGCAGAACTATACACAGGGGACATTTAGCAGTCAGACATGCAGAACTATACACAGGGGGACATTTAACAGTCAGACATGCAGAACTATACACAGGGGACATTTAACAGTCAGACATGCAGAACTATACACAGGGGACATTTAACAGACATGCATAACTATACACAGGGGACATTTAACAGTCAGACATGCAGAACTATACACAGGGAACATTTAACAGTCAGACATGCAGAACTATACACAGGGGACATTTAACAGTCAGACATGCATAACTAAACACAGGGGACATTTAACAGTCAGACATGCAGAACTATACACAGGGAACATTTAACAGTCAGACATGCAGAACTATACACAGGGGACATTTAACAGTCAGACATGCAGAACTATACACAGGGGACATTTAACAGTCAGACATGCAGAACTATACACAGGGGACATTTAACAGTCAGACATGCAGAACTATACACAGGGGACATTTAACAGTCAGACATGCAGAACTATACACAGGGGACATTTAACAGTCAGACATGCAGAACTATACACAGGGGACATTTAACAGTCAGACATGCAGAACTATACACAGGGGACATTTAACAGTCAGACATGGAGAACTATACACAGGGAACATTTAACAGTCAGACATGCAGAACTATACACAGGGGACATTTAACAGTCAGACATGCAGAACTATACACAGGGGACATTTAACAGTCAGACATGCAGAACTATACACAGGGGACATTTAACAGTCAGACATGCAGAACTATACACAGGGGACATTTAACAGTCAGACATGCAGAACTATACACAGGAGACATTTAACAGTCAGACATGCAGAACTACACAAAGGTAACTTTCAATAGTGAGTATGTAGAATTATACATAATTGCCATTCAGTAGTGAGGCATGCAGAACTATGCACAGGTAACTTTCATTAGTGAGTCATACAGAACTATAAGCAGATAACATTCAAAAGTGAGACATGAAGAACTACATACAAGTAACTTTCAACAGTGCTTCATGCAGAATTATACATAAGTGTCATTCAGTAGTGGGGCATGCAAAACTATATACCAGCAGCATTCAAAATACCAATGAGCAATATTATTTACATAAGTAGAATAATAAAATGTGAAGGGTAAAATTACATTGAAGTGACATTTAGCAGTGAGACAAGCAGAACTATACATAGGGGATATTCAACTTATTAATATGCAGAACTATAAACAAGCAATATTCAACATAATGAATACGCTCTTAACCAGCTTGCACCAAATCATCTCATGTAGCACCTCTATGCCTTTATCTGTTTTTTTTTTCTCCTCCTTATTTCATAATTTCCTTCAGTTATTTATTTATTTAGCCCTATAGGATCCAGAGTCGAGTCATTCTTCTTTCAGGTTTCTCAATTTTTGTCCTATCCAACACCAGCATTTTCCCTCACATATTGATTTTCAAGATTTCTAGTACTTTCCCAAAGTTATGAACAGTGATTCTGCCATACCATTTAATTACTCCTATTCTACAGAGGCATCAGTTAATGTATGCATGTTATTCATCATCATTATCATAACCACTGTTGCAATTTAGCCATCGGGGAAGGAAAGGGGGGGGGGGGGGGGGGGAGTGAGAAATAATTTGTGACCTGGTACATGCTGATCGGCACCACTTAATCTGCTGTTTCTTGATGAATCTAATACAAGATGTTGTTCCAACTATCAGGCTAAGAGTATCATTATTCACTTAAACTCAGATAAAGACAACTCAATTCACTATACAATTAAATTGTTCATAATATTGAACAAATAAAAGGGTTTCTTGTTTTTTAATTCTAAGGAGACAAACAGTATGAAGTGTCTGTAGTTGAGGTAGCCAAAAAAAAAGAAAGCACAGGAACTGTGTATCTTCCTAAGCACCCAAAGTGATAAAAAGGAATTACAGGGAAGAAGAAGAAGAAGGCAACCAATTTTCAGATGAAACTAAAGTTTGGTCGTACAGATAAGATGATTTTTAATATATATGTACAACATTTTATACATACACACAAATATATATTATATACTAATATAATCTGTCTGTTAACAACATCAGTAATCATTAGGAAGTTATTTCTGTGTTCAATCATTTAAGCATGTCTGTGAATGCAATGGTAAGGATGTGAACAGTAAGTAAACACACATACACAAAATACTTATTTATGCATGTAAACATGCACATACTTATATACTCACGCATGAATGCATAAACATACATGCACTCATACACATGCACACATAAACACAAAGGAAACAGAAAGGCAATATGTTTAGTTCAAGTAGTTACATAAAATCACAGTGATCACGTGTTGAAAATATAGCAATTGTACTTTTGTGATTAAAGTAAGTTTCATTTAACCAGCATTGCCTTCAAATGCATAAATATCAACAAGTTTAAACTACTTATGAGCTGTACTTCACCAAATTCCCATGTTTAGTGCAGAGAAACTAACTTACAGTCTTTAAAGAAGAAAATTGTGGCCTGCGAGCTGAAGTGCTATAGAAAATTTCTCAGAATAGTCTCAGAAAAGAAATACGGACATCCTAAAAGATATGAACATCAAGAAAGATTGGTAGTCACAACTTGTGTCTGAAACTGAAATATTTTGGCCATACCAAACACCATGGATGACTGAAAAAATATAATAGCAGAAGGCACGGCACCAAGAAAGAGGGACAGGGAAAGACCAGCACATAAATAGGCACAGGATATTAGTGACATATTGAGTAGGAAAGTGCACAAAGGAAGAGAGCTGGCAAGAAAACCAGTTTCTCTCAAGGTAGGCTGTGATGACGGAAACATTCTGCAAAGGCCCTGCAACATGATGATGAGTGGAGAAGATAATTCTTCTTCAGGTTGCTGGTCTGGAGCAGGCATAGTTAAGTCCTATCTTTCAACTTCTTTCTACAAGTTCCAATTATTACATGTCAGTTTGTTTACTGCATTGGGGCAAGGACTGGTGACGATAACTCTAATCATCTGTTTCATTTTATATTTCAATTGCAATGCTGTTTTTTAAAATTTGTCATCACAGTAACTTGTTTTATCAAGTAGAGAAATTAGTAACCATGGAAATAAGATATCTGAAATTGCTCCTTATTCCCTTGTGGAATGCATTTTCCGTTATTCTGAAGCCCCACCCTGGCTGTTGCCAAGGACCGCAATATAGCCTAAAGGTTGAACATGGTTTCCTGGGCCTCTCCATGGGTAATCCTCATCTGCATGGTGGCACTGTGTGTCACCTGGTGTTTATCGCTCTGTGTGATGTCCTAGTGGGGTAAAATTTACTTACTAGATGTCTGAAATGGGTAGCAGAAGTGTTCAGAAATAATCAAATCAAGAATTAGGGAAGAGAAAAGTCTGGACAGAACCATTTATAAATCAAATGGTTTGCCCATGTAGAATAAATTGTGACATCACACCATACAAGGCATTTAATAAAAGAGGAGAATGACATACAGCATGAGACAGACCAAGAACAAATTACAAAGATAACATTAAAGAAACTCTACAACACTACGATGTGTCTATGTTCGAGGTGGCCAAAAGAGCAAGAAGCTGACCTTTATATCCCCCTTGACACCCAAAGTGGTAAAAGAGGAAGTGACGAGGAAGAACAATCATCTAGTAATTATTAAAGTAGATTATACAGAGTCATTTAATGTGCATATAAACCATAAAACTAAACATTGAAAAAAGTATCTGTCTCATTGCTTGCCAATCAGTGGTCACACGGATTACAAGAAGTCTAGAATTCAGAAATAGGAGCTGTAACTGTTTCCAGTAAATGTGCACTTTCTGGTGCTGTGTCTGCAGAGAAATAAAATACATTGAATTACTGATATTGTAAACTTATATATCCCATCCCATTATGTTGTTTGTATGGTATGCTCTGGGTTTTGTTCCTCCAGGCTTGTCAACTCTTTATGTCTCAAAAAATGAACTATGCATACCAGTAGGAGTATCTATCAATATTTTATGTATGTTTTTACATCTTGTGTTTATCTGAGGAGTGGCTGGCCGAGCGGTTATTAATATTTATTAATATTTATTAATAGTCATGTCTATCTACAACCTTCTGTCTTGTGTACTTTCAGTCAACTCTGACACAGATAATCCTCCATGCCATGATGTCAAATTGACCTTCATTTTTGTCTTAAGTCTTTTTCCACCTCTCCTCCCTTCCAACTTTCCTACTGCCACGATGTACTCCAATTTTCTCCTTCTCATCATATTACCAAAGATGGTAGATTGTCTCTTCCTGATGTGGGCATTTAGTTCTCATCATGAGTCAGTTTCTTTCAAGACTTTTCTCTATTAACGAAATGAAAAAAAAAAACAATTTTCTAACCAATAGGGTGATTTTTAAGAGGGCTGGAATAAATCAAAATTATTTACAATAGTTTTAATAGGGAAAATTGATTCATAATACAAGTAATTCACCACTGAGCTCATCAAGGAACAATTACAAATGTGTATCCTGAGGTTCTACTAAATAACCAGTCCACCAAGTTACCAGCCATATTTACTCAGCTTTAGTTTTACTGCAAACTTTAATCAACATATAATATACCTCAACTACAGTAATATATACAACCTTATGTTGCATACATCTGTAAAGATTTAAAAACTATTGATATAAATAATATTTTTTGAGATGGCAAATTTAAAAGAAAAATATAACTTATAAACAATACAATAAAATAGCTAATTTTGTAGAAGACTTATTGCAAAAATGCAAGATTTTGCAGATATCTGATACATTACTGTAGATAGACCAGCTGCCTATCTTGACTGTCTTTTGCTGTCCATTCTTTAGTTTAGGCTAATTTATATCAATACTTGGACTATACAGAGGCATATAGCCGTGTGTCATACCTTGAGGCATGAAGCAAAGAAACAGCCTCCACTGCACCTTAACTAACCTGCATTTTCAAACATGATGTTAATTAGTATATTATATTTCAACATTATCTTCCTTACTGTTCTGCTGTATTGAAATCTCCTGTGGATCATCTCCTAATGATTTTTGCAAGACCTTGAAAACCTTGGACGGTATATTGCCTCCTTTGTAACGCCTGTCTGTTATGTCTTCATTGTTCACACTGTCCTGAAAATCTTCATAAGTGTTTTCCTCCACTTTAAAATTTGTTGGCTTCACTATTTAGAAGAAAAACAGATTTAGTTCAAATGTATGTTGCTGGCAAAGAACAGATTTAGTTCAAATGTATGCTGCCAGCAAAGAAGATTTAGTTCAAATGTATGCTGCCGGCAAAGAACAGATTTAGTTCAAATGTATGCTGCCAGCAAAGAAAAGATTTAGTTCAAATGTATGCTGCCAACAAAGAACAGATTTAGTTCAAATGTATGCTGCCGGCAAAGAACAGATTTAGTTCAAATGTGTGCTGCCGGCAAAGAACAGATTTAGTTCAAATGTATGCTGCCAACAAAGAACAGATTTAGTTCAAATGTATGTTGCCAACAAAGAACAGATTTAGTTCAAATGTATGTTGCTGGAAAAGAACAGATTTAGTTCAAATGTATGCTGCCAACAAAGAACAGATTTAGTTCAAATGTATGCTGCCAACAAAGAACAGATTTAGTTCAAATGTATGCTGCCAACAAAGAACAGATTTAGTTCAAATGTATGCTGCCAACAAAGAACAGATTTAGTTCAAATGTATGTTGCTGGCAAAGAACAGATTTAGTTCAAATGTATGCTGCCAGCAAAGAAGATTTAGTTCAAATGTATGCTGTTGGCAAAGAACAGATTTAGTTCAAATGTATGCTGCCAGCAAAGAACAAATTTAGTTCAAATGTATGCTGCCAGCAAAGAACAGATTTAGTTCAAAAGTATGCTGTCAGCAAAGAACAGATTTAGTTCAAATGTGTGCTGCTGGCAAAGAAAATCCACAGCTTAGGTACACCATGAGAAAGGAAAATAAGTGTGCACTGTGATAACAAGCAAGCTGTAGGAAGAGAGGCAAGGGGAGTCCAAAAGAGTGGATGTTGGACAGCTTAGCATTATGGCATGGAAGAAAATCCGCATTAGAAATGATTGCCAGTATGTGAGACAGAAGTCATGACCTGGACAGACATGATGGTCAATGCAAACTGGTATTGACTATTAAAAAACAACACAAGAAATCAGTTACAGTATTGACAAACACTACTGAAGAATAATTACCTTTATACTTATTGATTATGTATTTATATTTGGTACAGTTTTATTTTTGTAATAAAAATTATTAATAATAAATTAATAATAACTTTTTTTAGTTGGACAGCAATGATCTTTTTTGAGACAAGGCAGCTTGCCTATACCATACATATGTCACCTCTTACCATTTGTCTGATGAGGTATGGTGTGATCAAGAAATGAGGAGAAGACAATGTCAGATTAGACATACACTGTTGACTTGGGCTTTAAAATCATGGGGCTAGTAACATTTATCCATTAAGTTGATTGGTCTTTAAAATCATGGGGCTAGTAACAATTATCCAGGAGGTTGACTAGTCTTTAAAATCATGGGGCTAGTAACATTTATCTAGTGAGTTGACTGGTCTTTAAAATCATAGGGCTAGTAACATTTATCCACTAAGTTGATTGGTCTTTAAAATCATGGGGCTAGTAACATTTATCTAGTGAGTTGACTGGTCTTTAAAATCATGGGGATTGTAACATTTATCTAGTGAGTTTAGTCTTTAAAATTATGGGGCTAGTAACATTTATCTAGTGAGTTTATTGGTCTTTAAAATCATGTGGCTAGTAACATTTATCCAGTAGGCTGAATAGTCTTTAAAATCATGGGACTAGTAACATTCATCTAGTGAGTTGACTGGTCTTTATAATCATGGGGCTAGTAACATTTATCCACTAAGCCTCAAGAAAAAATCCTTAAAATTACTTACTAAAACACATGCTTTGCACAGATCATGAAATGGAATTTACAAAACCTCAATACCTGGATCGGGGTCAAGTTCGGCCCATGTTTGAAGAAGTCTGAATGAAGGAGAAGGAATGTTCCTGCCTTTGTAGCGTAAAGCCGGATCCTCTAAGCCTCCGTTTCCCTCATCTGCATCTCCTGTACAAGTACATCAGTATGAAAATTTAGTTACATAAATGTGTAACTATTATGATTGTTTAATTTTTTATGAAGTAACAAGCCTCTCACACATCATCGCTGTCATTACAGCCCATTTGAAAGACTCTTGATCCTACATTAGTTCCCTTTTCTAATTAATGTATTTTCAAGCCAAGAGTATCTATATCTTTTTAATTCCCATTAAATTTTGCAGTGGATGCTCAAATAGAGAAATAACAACCATGAACAAGTGCATAACATCTAAAATGGCAACTTTGAAAGCCATGTTTCTCATGTGTGTGTTGATCACACGGAATCCCTGTGTGGGTTGCGGTGCCTCATTGTGGAAAACAAGAACAGACCTACTGCCTCCCCAACAAGCATGTCATTAGAATCGACTAATTGAAAGCTTCCATCGAAGTTGGAGTGCATCTGCCCTAGTGGCAAGTAAAATCAACTGCACACAAATAAGCCAGTGAAACGGATGTACATGCAAATCTCAGGCCCTGGCACAAAGACTATGTCCAAATGGATGAACAACCAAGACTTCTCACTGGAGCTTACAGCCGGTGAACAAAGAAGAAGATGAAGATCAAACATAAACAAGTAAGAGAACATGATGCAAAGAAGAGAATTCAGGAGAAATAGGACAAGTTGTCAGAAAATCAAAAAATAATTTTTTAAAACTGGTTTATGGGGAGAGACAGTGCATGCAGGTATACCTTACATGCCACCGAACTCAAGTGTAAGATTTCAGGGGGGGGGGGGGCGTTGAACTCACAGTGCAAGATGAAGATTGTATGGTGTGGGAAGGATGGGTTATGGGTTGGCAGGGTATTCCATTCTATTGAAACAGCGTTCAATCCTGATATTTAGAATTGCCTATGTCTGTCATTGTCTTGGTCACCATGCTGGATTTCAATGTATCCGTTCAGGAATGCTGTAATTACTTTTCAGGGCCTAAGAGATGTAACCAGTTAATTATATGCTGATTTGTTTTTATTGCCAACTCTTCTTACTCTGTAGAATATTTCTTCATGTTTTAGATGATAAATCTAATTTTTTTGGGGGGGGGGGGGGGGGGGGGGAGAGAGAAGGGGGTTGTGTGTATGTGACAGGTTTAAAATGGCCTTTTTCTTACGCATTTATTCTTTCTGAGAATATCAAGCTTTTATCCTAGGTTATAATATGGTACTTGATAAGATTTTCTGTGTGTGTCCATGAGTGTATTAGTGCATGAGTGTATGAGTGAGTGAGTAAATGAGTGACTGAGTGTATCAGTGAGTGAGTGAGTGAGTGAGCGAGCGTGTGTGTGTTGTTAAAATTAATTTCAATTAAAGATATACACAGTGCATCAATAAAGCTGTCATCACCATCAAGTGCCTGCCACAGATCTCGCTCTTTGGGGTTCTGGGTCAATTCCACTGATGATATTCCTCTAAGCCATCCACTTTTTCATTTCTCTTGGTCTGTCTCTGCATCTTCTACCAGTGATCTTTCCAGTCGTCACAATATTTTCCAGAGCTCCTTCTCTCATCACATCACCAAAGAAATTTGTTTCCTTCTCATTGTTGAAGATAAAGTTCTACTTTCATTAGCTATTTTCAGGAAATCCTTGTTAGTCACACTAGCAATTCAAGGTATTCAAAACATTCTTTTCAAGAAAACAATTTCAAATATATTTTGAAATATACACGGTGCACACAATATTATTGCTGATGCTTATACTTTGCAAACATAGGTTTGTAAATAATGAAACATTATTTGATTTCTAAGGGTGTTACAACTACAAAATAACTATTACAGAAACTATCTGAAGTACCTGAGTTGGTTAGTAACCATCAGCTTTAGCTTATTACTAATTAACATACCTGCATCAAGTGTTGCTTTCCCATTCTGTATCATGGCTAATTCATCATGTGAGGACATTCTCTGCAGAATACCAAAAGTCTTCGAGGGTATCTCTGCCTTTGAGTTAAGGCCAGAAAATCTCATTTCATCATCGTCTGCATTATGGCGCCTCTCGGGGTCTTTGTTTCTCTTCGCTTTTTGACTGGGTTCTGAAAAAGTGGATGTCAACATTTTTAATTGCTTCTTTCTTTAAAAATATTATAATTCGAATTAATCATCTTTATCCCCGTGTGGGTTCTGGGGCTTCATTGTAGGGAAAACAAGAATACACACACCAACTCCCAAACAAGCATGTTGTAAGAGTCGACTAACTGACAGCTTCCTTGGAAGTTAGAGTGCATCTGCTTGAGAGGCAAGGAATCAACAGTCAGATCTGTGAAACAGATGTGCATGCAACTCTCAGGTTGTGCAAGTCTAAAGTCCAGAGGTTGATGAACAACCATAATTTTCTGCGAAGTTTACAGCCTATGAACATGAAGAAGTTGAAGAGGAATCACCTTGACAAAAATATTCACTAGCATATAAAATACACTGCTCCTACTGAAAGTTTCAATAAAGTAAGGTAGTGAATGAGAAAACCTGGAAAGTATACTGCTGGCACTTTTGCTGGGGGTAGTCACATTTCTGCTGGCATGGTTAATTGGTCAGTTTAGAATTGAGGAAGCTAAACAGAGACAGACTATCTTCTTGACTATTTTCTTTTTCTTTTAGTCCATACCATATGTTTAGTCCATGCCATATGTTTAGTCCATACCATATGTTTAGTCCATGCCATATGTTTAGTCCATACCATAAGTTTAGTCCATACCATATGTTTAGTCCATGCCATATGTTTAGTCCATACCATAAGTTTAGTCCATGCCATATGTTTAGTCCATGCCATATGTTTAGTCCATGCCATATGTTTAGTCCATACCATATGTTTAGTCCATACCATATGTTTAGTCCATACCATATGTTTAGTCCATGCCATATGTTTAGTCCATGCCATATGTTTAGTCCATGCCATATGTTTAGTCCATGCCATATGTTTAGTCCATACCATATGTTTAGTCCATACCATATGTTTAGTCCATACCATATGTTTAGTCCATACCATATGTTTAGTCCATGCCATATGTTTAGTCCATGCCATATGTTTAGTCCATGCCATATGTTTAGTCCATACCATATGTTTAGTCCATACCATATGTTTAGTCCATACCATATGTTTAGTCCATGCCATAAGTTTAGTCCATGCCATAAGTTTAGTCCATGCCATATGTTTAGTCTATGCCATATGTTTAGTCTATGCCATATGTTTAGTCCATGCCACATGTTTAGTCCATGCCATATGTTTAGTCCATGCCATATGTTTAATCCTTGCCATATGTTTAGTCCATGCCATATGTTTAGTCCATGCCATATTTTTAGTCCATGCCATATGTTTAGTCCACACCATATGTTTAGTCCATGCCATATGTTTAGTCCATGCCATATGTTTAATCCTTGCCATATGTTTAGTTCATGTCCATGTTTAGTCCACACCATATGTTTAGTCCATGCCATATAGCAATGGTAATCATGTCTATCCACAGTTTTCTATCTTGTCAGTCATTTCTGATACAATTTATGTTGCAAACTTTCTGCTGTTGGAACATACTCTAGTTTTTTTTTCTTTCTCAAGATAAGTCTCAGGAATGTGGACTGCCACATATGGATGCTGGTTAAGGCAGTCTATATAAAAATCAAAAAGCTGAGTTTCAAAAAGTAAAGGAAACCTTAGGAGAATCAAGTATATTTAAAGTAAAAACAGGAATGGCCCCTTCTCTCATCTTCTTTCAGTCCCAGGGAGTGCATTTTATGTTTGTAGGTTCCTACCTAGAAGCTCAATGCTCCAATTTTACATCTTTCTTTACTACCCCTTGGGCCTGTGATGCTAAGCCCCCTGGGACTCAAAGAATTACTCTGGCCTATAGAATACAGAAGAATGCTTAAAATACCTTGGACAGCCAAAAAGAGCAACCAGGAGGTTTTAAAGAGGCGAGAGCCGGAAGACTAATCACAGACATCAGAAGGAGACAGTCATCATTTTTCAGCCATGTTATGAGAAGAAGGAAAACTGAACATGTTGTGACCACTGGAAAGATCTGTGAAAGGAGAGATAGAGCAAGACAATGAGAGAAGATTCTTGACAGTCTTGTTGCATGGCACAGAGGTGTGTCAGCACATAAACTAATACATGCTGCAGGAGATGGCAGATTCTGGAGAGGCATGATCGCCCAAGCCAGTCGGCAAGGTACCTGAAGATGATAGTGCTGGACTTATGTAGACCAACTTGTGCTCAATGAGTGATGTCGTCAGCATCATGCTGGCCACCTTTACTTGCCAGGACATAACCTGCATTTTAGGTTTCGGTCGACCTGGGAGTTTATATCAATTTTTTTTTTTATTGGCCTTGATATGGATTTGAACTGTAGGCCTTTGGACATTACCTGTTAAACATTTTAGGCTTCAACATTTACCTGGTACAAATGTTATGCTGTATTTAACTTTTCATAGACATCTCTGGGCTAAGTATGGTCGAATCAACCATTTGAAAATGCGGTCTATTTGTTCTTTTTTTGGCATTTCCCCTTAAAATGCAGTTGTATCATATTTTTACAGCCAATCTGCAGTTTCTGTGCCTACTGGCCCATCATATTCAATTTCAGTAAACTGTTAAATAGTCCCCTTATTACAGCATTCTTGTAAATTTTAATTAATAAACACCCCAAACATTATCTTGAGGGATCTTAGATGTGATTTTATTTTAAAAAATTATTTGAATTATTTGGCCAGCTACGAAGAGCAACCAAGATGTTTTGAAAGAGGTGAGTCCTCGAAAGTAAATTATTACAAACACCAGAAAAATACATAATTTTTTGGTCCCATTATGAGAAGAGGGAAAATGGAACATGTTGTGACCACTGGAAAGATCTGTGGAAAGAAAGACAGAGGAAGACAGCATGAGAACATTCTTGACAGCCTTTTGTCATGGCATGGAGGGGTATCAACACACAAACTGATACACACAGTTACAAATAGAAGATTGTGGAGGGGCATGATCACTAACGCCAGTCAGAGCCAGGCGGCACTTGATGATGAAAGTGATTGTCATATGGTTTGGTTTGGGGGGGGGGGGGGGGGGGGGGGGGTCTACTTCCAAAGCATATCATGGTAATCCCTACAGGCTAGTTTCACTCTAGAAATGGCAGATGATAAAATAGCATTCTTCTAAAAACACACATCAACTTTGTTGGAGGTCCATTGCATCCAACCTTCAATGTGGATGTGGCAACTGACTGACTGACTGAAACATTAACAAATTTCACTGAATACGGTCTATGCAGTCACAGGAAACAAAAATAATAAGTGCTTTTATCTTCCTTGAGTTAACATCCTTTTTTTTTTTACATCTTGTAATATTGATCATTCAGCTTAAAATATTATTTGTATCCTGCACTGTTGAATGGTTTGCCTTACTTGACAGAAATAAGATTAGAAGCGCATAATGGACTGTGCCCAGAATATACAGGTGTGCTGGCAAATAACAGGCTGACACACTGACTGTTGTTACTCTTTTAGGTGTTGATATATTTGATGATAAAGTGTACTTAGTGACATCTCTCTGAGATCAGGTGCACAGGGCTATACAATGTCCAGATCTTGCAAGTGTGTGTCAAAGATAAGTCAGCAGTGAATCTTGACAATACTCAACATGTAAAAATAGAAAGGTAAATCTGGCCCATTTGAATTGGCTACTAAGAAAGAGGGGGGGGGGATGTGGAGTACACAGGGCAACATTCTGAGCTATGACAATTCTTGAAGTTTTCATTCAATCATACATTTGTATAACACTAACCTACCATCAGTCTCATCCTGCTCTGTTTCTGTCATCCACTGCAATACTTTGAATGACTTTGACTGTTTTCGAGGATTAGTTCCCATGTTAAGGTTGATAGGAGACTCATCGATCTCAGACCTGAGTTCAGCTTGCCGGGAAGGGATGTAATCTGACTGTAACTGTCCAACTGGTTTCTTTGAGGCTTTGAGCGCAGGATCAACATTACCTGGATCAGACTTAGATCCTGCTTGCCGGGAAGGTAGATAATCTGACTGTAGCTGCCCAACTGGTTTCTTGGGAACCTTAAAGGTAGTGTCAGCATTAACTAATTCCGATTTAGTTCCTGTCTGTCTGGAAGGTAGGTAATCTGACTGCATCTGTCCAGCCGGTTTCTTTGGAACTTTGAAAGTGTGGTCAGGGTTGCCTTCTTTATTGATGTAATAGTCAGACTGAATTTGTCCCACTGATTTCTTTCGATATCTGTTAACAAAGTTCAAATACAATAAAAAAAAGTGTAGGCACCTTTGATTGCATACGCTGAATACCTAACTTTAATCCCTATTCAGTATTCAAGCACTAACATATATATTAAACAAATAATGGTGTGCATTTATATTTGTTGTGTGTATTATGCCCTTCATGCATTATTACCTGTTTTGGTCTTTGGCACGTGTGACTGACACTTCACAGTATATCCTCAGTAAAGTGTAATATGTTATCTTAACTATTATAATTTGGTAAGAGCATACTGAAGAAATCAGGAATTATCCAGTTTGTTAGTTTGTTAAATAGTTATTTTTCCTACTGTCAAACTTTCTGGCACCCAAAGATGTACTTTTTTTTTCAAGGCTTCACTTTTGAACAGTTATCTTCCAAAACATTGTGGCATAAAATAACAGCAGATTTGTGTCTGTCATGTCCCAAATAACTTTACAGACTGCAGCCTCAAGTTCTGACAAAGAACAACACAACCTTGACTAATAAGAAAATTAATATAATACTCAGTATTAGAATCAAACACCTATTTAGGCAGTAATGTGGATAAAGATAGAACAAGTCTATTGCTAATGTACAGCTTGGAAAGAAAATTAAAAACATTCCAGTGAATCAAGAGTCAAAGAGAGGATTCTGGCATTGGTTAGAACATGGGTTGAGAAAATTTGAAAATGCTTTAACTGGAATGGCCTTGCACTAGCAGCCACAAGATCTAGGAAATAAAGACAATATTTGAACCCTAACAAAACAGTAAAGTTATGCTCATGACAAGGGTTTCTGTTTTCTTCAAACAAAAAAATTTTATGTTGGATATGAACGGCATTTTTCATCATAATTATTTTGAATTTTGGAATTAATTATTATATGACATAGGTAACATATATATTTTCCTTTTTCTCCTACACCATTCCAAGCCTGTAGGTTCTTTGCTGCATATACCGCATGCCACTGATTGGCCTTCTCATTCCAGTAAGTCTGCATGTATACTATGTCTTTTTCTTCTTCAACCATTTTGTGTATGCAGTTTATGTCTCTCTGTATCTGGCATTCTTTCAATTATCCCCCAAACCTCTCAGCAGAACTGAAGCAACTCAAATATGGGTCTAGTCATGAATCAAGACAAAACATATACTTGGTATTAACAAGAAAGGGAAAGGACACAAATTTTCGGCCACATACAAACTGATAATAGGAAAATCTAAAGAAGGGAAACATACATGTACTTGGGTACAAACTTCAACTACTCTAATATACTACAAGAAGAAATTTAAACTAGAATAAAATGTGGATTTAAATTTATTTTGCTTTTGAACACCTGCTAAAATGAAATGCTCTATCTTATAACACTGATTAAACTGACTGTCATATTTGGCTCTGAAACATGGGGTACAACTAAAAAATCATATATGTTACTATTTGTCCCCAAAAAATAGCTATGACTACATGGTTGACCCAACCTAAAATGGGTATGCAGAATTGTCCTGGGAATCAAAAGTGGTCACTAACCACACAACCCATTAAGTGTCAAGTGTCTAAAAGCCTCTCTAAAACAATACTATGTGACTCAGAAGAGGACAAGAGGCAGACAAAGCAAGACCTGGGTGCAGAACTTGGTTGACTTGAGAGGCCTCAAACATGCAGACATGAAGTTCAATGCATCTGACTTACACAGGGGAATGGAACTGATCACAAAGTCAACAGCAACTGGTAACTGAACGATACTCACTCACAGCACAACTTCATTCTCACTCACTCACATGTATGAGGTTGCATGAATTGGAACTGAATGTGTAACAAGCAAAAAAGGACTTATGAGAGGAAGAGTACAATCAAAATCAGATCATGATGACAGGAAGTACAACATTTGAAAACACTAATTCTTAAAATGACACATTGAAAAATAATGACTTCAGATACTTACCCACCATACTGGTCTTGTACTTCTGGTTCTTCTGCCTGGAATTGCTGGTCAGTCTGACCTCCTCTAGGCTTTGGTGCTGTAGGTGGCCCAACTTTTCTGTGAAGGTATTATTCAACAAAACTCAGTTAACTGACATATTGGTAAAGTGCACCATTTTTGGTTAGATATTTGTGGAAATATTTAAACATTTGCAGTTGAAAGTAGATGAGGCAGCAATACAGACTCCTAGCAGAATTTTCTGCATCACTTTTTTTGTTTTGTTCGCTGACTTCTTTTATCTTCTCTGGTCAAGTTAATCTTCTTTTCTTTTATCAGGACTCATTCCCTGTATTTCAGTTTTGCTACCTAACCGTTCTATGGATGTTGTAGCGAGTAAGACCAAATATAAATGAATGTTGACTGATGATAAGTGCTAATTGTCATCCCCATGAGGGATGCAAATTTTCGTGTTTTTTTTAAGCCACATCCTGTCTTTAGCCGGGGGCCCTAAATAAAGCCGGGCCATAAATATGGCTGAACAGGGTTTTTGGGACCTCTTCATGGGTGATCCTCATCTGCATGGTGGTACTTTGTGTCACCTGGTGTTTATTGGTTTGTGTGATGTTCTGTTGGGGTAAAACTTACATTCACACAATGTTGACTGAAGATGCAGTTAGATGAGACAATATGTGTTACCTTAACCCACTCAAACATGGGACCACCTTTTTTTAAATTTTACATTACAGCCCCACCCTGGCTGGACTTCAAGTTATTTTGTAATGAAGAGGGGCCGCAATACAACATTACAGTTAAACAGAATCTCTAGTACTTGAACCTGGATATTCTCCTCCGAACAGAGTCATTTTAAGTTAGCGGATGTTAATCGCTCAGTGTCTGGTCCTAGTGAGGTTCAACTTCACTCACTCACTCACTCACATGTGTGATGTTGCATGAATCTGGAACTGGGTGTGGACCCAGCAAGAAAGGACTTATGAGAGGAAGAGTACAATCAGCATTTACATTTGAGGGCATTTGTTGTGGGAGACAGTGTCTATGGATATACCCAGCATGTTATGTTTAGATTTGTAAATCAGTCATGAGATGTGCCCACATGCCCATATCTTAGAAGTTTGAAAATAAGCTGTGTTTATTCTTTTTTCATTGTATGCATTTATCCCCAGCAGAACAGATTTCATTCTCATATAACATGTATACCATAAGCAATACAGCAATGATCAATGATTAGTGAGGACTGTCATCCTAGCACTCTGGACCAATCCATAGGCCCTTCCTATCTCCTCTTCAGAAGCTCCACACAAGCAAAACAACTGATTACCAGATGTCTTGTACCTTTGTTGAAATGTTCATATCTGGCTGTCCCAGTCTGCACCCCAGTGTCCACCAACCTGGACAAGGATACTGAGTCCTACTTGTTGTCGTTATCTTTGTCGCAACATTATTGACATCACTCCTGTCCATTGCTGGGCCAGTCATAAAACTGCCTTGATAATCTGCTCGCCCATTGCAGTAATACCGTAAAACCTCGTTAATGGGAATTCCAAGAGAAAAATTGAGAGATCTTGTTAAACAAAACTTTCAAATTAAATATAAAATTTAAAAGTTTAAAAAAAGAAAAACTGGGGGATACACCATGAACATCCCTGCTGAGACCAACATTTTGTTAATGTTAACCAAATGTTTGTCTTAAACGAGTTCATGTTAACAGTGCTTTACTGTAGTTATAATTTCTTATAATCCATGCCATTTGGCATTAGTTGTCATGTCTACCAAACACCTTCAGTCTGTACTGGCAATTACTGTTTATTTTCTCCCTCCACATCACTAACCCAAACGTTCTTTCTTTTGGTCTTCATATGAATCTCTTCTTCAGTTTTAGTTAAGGTATTTTTTTTTTAAAGATTTTTATGAGCTTGCAGCATAAAGATATACTGTTTGAAAAGTGTATGCAAGAAAAAAAATTATCCTTAAAGTTGAAAAAAAAACATATGCCAGACGCAAACACACTTGAAATAAAACATGTTTAAAGAAACTACACAGCATCATTATTTAGAAGAAGAGACTTCTTACTTTTTCAGTTCGGAAAGGTCAATTCCATATGAGAAAGGTTTGGGACCCCCACTTTTGGCAGAGCTGAGCATTGCCCCCAGAAGCTGGTCTGGAATTTTCTGTGCTTCAGAGTCCTCATTTGGCTGCAAGAAATATCTCTGATATATGAGACAGTATTCACAATGTCATTTTTTTATTTTATTTATAAAGACTGTTTTCCCCATCCGGTGCATGCTGCTGGTTTGATATTTTTACAGACTATTTAGCACCCAATGAGGGGTGTGTTCAAGATCATGCCCGCTGCTTTTACATTTAAAAACATTTTTCTGGAATCCATTTGAAGCTAGGTTAATCAGGGAAGTCAGGTTATTTTTTTTTTTTTTAGTTTACCTTTAATTTAACTCATGATCACAAGAAGCCAGTCTCGAAGTGAAAAAGTTTCTGGATAATTCAAAGGTATCTGAACTATCACAGGATATCTAGACAGCCATACATTATCTGGACTTTCACACATTATCTAGACCAGGTGTTTTTCAACAAGCACACCTCAGCCCCTTGGCGGTTGAACAAACCTTTCACAGGAATCATCAATGACAATAAGAAAACACATATTCCCTGAAGTTATGAAGTAGTGAAGAAAAAAAGACTTGGGGTCAACACAAAATAAGGAACTGAAATAAAGGTCGCAGTATTAGGAAGGTTGAGAACCTCTGTCCTAGAATCAGGGTTCCCAACTGGTAGGCTGGCCAACATAGACTGGACTGAGGTTTCCTTTAGTGTCAATGTGCATTGAGAGGCGAAGAGCAAACAGTCTGCCATAACCAAGCCAGATCTCTAAAATTGATTTGCATGCAAAGCAAGCTATGGAACAAGAACAAATTCTAAAAGTGATCAAACAGCTATGACTTTCCATTGGAGTTTACAGCTGGTGAACGCAAGGAAGAATTAGACATTAGACAGACTGTTCAGCAGTTTATAAAGAATAGTAAAGGAAAGCATAGTTCTCTGTGATGTTTGTAGTCATGTCTATCCACAATCTTCTGTCTCATGTAATTTCAATCACCTCTGATACAGATACAGATGATCCTCAATGCCATGATGTCAAACTGTTCAGCAACTTTTCTCTCGATCTCCCTCTGCCTCTCCTCTCCTCCAACTTTCCTACTGTCACGATGTTCTCCAGTTTTCTCCTTCTCATCACGTGAAAGAAGAGGCCACATGAATTACAACCATGGACACAGGAAATTATTGACATCTTGAGCATGAACATACAATAGGCAAGTGAGCTGGTGAAGGACTGATAAATGTCTATGGCAGATTGCGATAAGAGAAGTCAAAAAATGAGTTGCTGCCTCATGATGATGATGGCTTACACAACATTACATGCAAAGCAGCCATGCAATTCAATGGAGAACACAGAAGAATCTACTAGTTACTGGAAGATTAGCTCTAGTCAAAGTGTTAAATGTCTAACTTTCCATTTGCCTGGTTGTCACTATATCTTTACTTGGTGTAGGATTATAGCATTCAAGCTTTTTTTCCATTATTTTCTAATTAAGTGTGACACACTTATGAGGATATGACACACAAACAGATAATTTAATATTAATGTCTTGCCTTAATTTTTCAATACATTACTGTAAAGGTGAGTCACAGAAATAAAGTGAAGTGGCACATTAAGAATATGAGGCTCATATTTTTAAAGACCAATCAGTCCTTGATGGGTGATGTGGTCAGCACCCCACCATCTGCCTTTACTTCCCAGGACTTTACCTGGCACCCACTTAAGTTGGTGACATTACAGAAATAGCATCTTCAAAAGTCGGCTGATGGCTGTTTCTTCTTGTGCTGCTGCTCTTTACTGAAAAGAAAAAGGATCTGTCTAAAAATACTGAAATTCAGTTTTGACAAAAGTATTGGGGAAATATTTGTATTGAAAAGAAGCAATTCATGAAGAACAGAGTGTTATGTTCTATGCTTCAAAACTCTGGGATCACATAAGATGGACACATAATTGCAGATTGCTGCTGATACCAAAGGAATAGAACTCTGCCCTGGCTGCTAAAGATAGGGACAGAGGACTTATGGGAATGTATTGAGTGCTGTAATGTCAATTATCATCTCAACTCAGCTCATCCCATTGTTCGTTGTTCATTTTTGCAATCAGCTTCATCCAACATCGGACATGACCATAAGTGTATACTCCTCCTGAGTAAGTCTACAAGTGCTTTAAGGCTAACAACTCCAGTTATGTTCTGGCTGATGCAACTCAAAACTGTGATAGATTCATTTGCACGTAAACATTGTCAAAAATGTGCACGTTGGAAATACAAAACAGCAACTTAACCAAGTGTCTAACAACACAGGAAAAAATGTAATCACATACAGAAAACTCTCAATGATGATGTTAACACACACACACACAAACAGCAAAGCACTAACAACAGGGAGACAGATGTCCAGATGAGTCAAGCTGATAACACTATGTACAGTCTACAATGCAAGATAGTTCAAGTAGATAGTTTAAGTGGGTGTATCCTCAGGCTGTCTTACTAAGCAATTATGCTACATGAAGGCAATGTTAAATGTAGGTCAACTTTAATGTCCAGTGCATCAAGAGGTTTCTACAGGAATGTAGGAAAGTAACAATATCATTTATTCAAATCTGGCTCTATCCTCACTGCCAATACTAGGCTAAAAGTAACTGGATCAGCTTTCTTCTGTTTGTTTTTTTAATGCTCTAACCTGTTGTTTAATTACTTCTTCTTCATTTTGTTTTTCTTCTTCTTGTCTTTTTCTTTTCCTCTTATTATTTTTATGGTTTCTTTTCCAAAACAAATCTAGGCAAACATTAGGCAATCTCGACTTTACAATCTCATTTCTTGTGTGATATCTTGATGATACTGGTGTTCATTATATTATTACTTGTGTGACTAGATGTTTAATTTATCCACTTATATTGTTGCTTATTCATTCTTTGCCATTACAGCAAAGTAAGTTGCATATAATGGGAAAGTGTCTACTTTATCTCTTCTCATGATATGCAAATTAATTTCACTTGTCTTTTTCGTGTGGTTTGATGAGTGATCTTGTAACTATTGTGGATATCATTACCTCAGTCTTTATTCTCCTTTAATATATATATATATATATATATATATATATATATATATATATATATATATATATATATATATATATATATATATATATATATATATATATATAGTTTGTTTATATCTAAACATGTTGACAAGTTTGTTATTTATTTAAATTGTATATCTCAATAACTTATTAAATCACATAATTTAATTTTAACAGAATTCTCCTATAAATATTTATTTTCTTCTTGCCCTCCTTTGAAACACATCACCTTTGCACATACAAAAATGACAGAACCTAAACAATGGCACTTTACCTAAATAATTATGCACGTGTAATAGTTATGCTACTGCACTGATATTCTTAATCTGTTGCTTTATTGGCCTACACTCAACACTCAGAGGAAAGGCAAGACAGACGTACAATCAAGCTGCTATTGGTACCATCTTCATCAGGGGGTCTCCGAAGTGAAGTGGTCAAGCAGTTTGCCTCACGTTCTGAAGATCATAGGTTCATTTCAGAGTTGTGTCATCGGTGCATGACTGCATTCTTTACGGAGACTCCTTGGGGTCATCGTTGGAGCTATAGAGTCCATGCTTTGTGTGATGCTCATTGCAAGCAGCTAGCCATATTGCAGAGGGGGAACAAACCATATGGGATAAAACCCGGTGCAATGAAGTTGATCCTCTCTACTTTAACCTTTATTGGTACCATCAGAATCAGAACTGTGCCCTGGTTGTTGGTTGAAGGTGAGGTTGGAGTGCTTGTGGTAATGTCCCAAATGCTGTCATGTTGGTACTTAACTCAGTTCAGCTCAATTCAATGCTTTGTAGATATACAGTTTCGAACAACAGGGTAAAGATTTTCACAGCAAAAAACACATATAATAAAATTTTAAACTAAGTGAATTTATTTACCTGGTAATTTGGGCGCTTGTAAGGAACAGGATTCCACATAGGTGGAGCTTGGGGGGGTGGGAAGAATGCAGAAGGTGGTGGTGGTGGTAGAGGAGGAGACGGCTCTGACAATTCAGTGGATGAAGTTATGTTTAAACTGCCCACTCCTTCCTTTATGCCAGTATAGTCAATCTGATTCACGTGAAGGTCCTCACTGAAATCTGAACGTGGGCTCAGAGATCCACCTGAGGGAGTGTAAGGCATGGCCATGTACAAGGTGCCAGACTGTGCATGTTGAGTGGATCCTCCAAAATCTGGGATTCTGTTGTCATCATTGCTTTTGTCATACTGGTTACCTGACTGAATTTGTACAGGGTTTGAATAGGTACTACCTGTAACAGGTTGTGTAGGCTTAAAGGGACGTGCTGTAAAGTTAGTGGGTGTAGAAGTCATGCCACCTTCTTCAGCACTGTGGTCCAAACTGACTTTTCTAATCACTGAAGTTGGTTTGAACTGGGTGGATGAAAAAGGCATGGGAACCTGGTTAAATGATGAACTGGCTTGAATTTGTGCTGGTGTATATGGTTTAGGAGCGGAGTAAGGCTGTGGGGTGCTTTTGTATACACTGAAGCTGTTGTTGTTATTAGTGTTGTATGCTGGTTTCAAGCTGGGCACAGCAGTGTATGTGCCATTCCCTGTACTGTTGGTGGTTGACTGATCATCAGCATTTCTTCCACTCTGATAAATAGTAGCTTGGACACTGACAAGTCCTGATGGTGGGCTTGGCTCTCGGTTTGCTAACTCTGAATCAGAGCTCATGTCCTGTCTTGGGTTTAAAGGTCCTGAGAACATCTGAGGACTCACAGTACGAGGCAAGGAATTGTCAGCTGGCTTGGCTGACTTATCCGTAAACTGTAAAGTCTGTGGAACAGGAGTAGCAAATTGTTGCTGAGGAATTTGAGGATTAGCGTTAAAGGGTATGCCAGTGCTGAACTTCACATCCACTGATCCATTGGAGCTGACAGAATTGAGACTTCCATTGGATATCCTGAGTTCATTGGTTTCAGGTGCTCTCAGCTCTCTTTCTCTTTCTCTATCTACATCATTGTTCCTGTATCCACCTACCCCTCTTGGCAAGGACTTGGTATCATAGCTAACATTTCCATCACTGTTGAAATAACCACGGATATTGTCAGGTCCACCAGGAGAATCATGTATCAGCTCTTGTTTTTTATAGGCTAAAGTGTAGTCTGGGAAGTTGAGTCCTCCACTGTCCATGTCCTCATCATTTGTGTAGCTATTGCCATGATCATTTATCTGCTCAGCAGAGTTGACATTTTGGATTTCAACTTTGGTAGCCTGATATGACTGGTGCTGAGACCCAAAGTTCCTGGGAGTTGTTGCGTAATGGGTTGTTTCATTGTTGCTATTGTAGTTGTTGTTCAGAGGAATGCCGACCCCAAATCCCTTAGGGACAGCATTGTAATCACCAACTTGGATTGTTAATTGATGTCCATATTCATAATCAGAAGAATGAATTGAGTCTGAAAGAACTGGACCTCCTGGTCTGTAAGCAACATTAAACAAACAAAAATTATTATTATACCAGAAAAGACACAAAAGAAATATTTCAGTGACATTAAAAGATAGCACACTTGAAAAAAAATTTAAAAAATTTTCAAGAATTATTTCATGCCATAGAGAATAGGACATATAGTGCTAGACCTATTTTTGGATAGACCAATTAGCACTTGATGGGTAATGCGATCAACATGATGCTGCCCACCTTTACTTCCCAAGACATTACCTCTTACCGATATAATGCTGGGCCAACCTGGAAGCCAAAGTCAGTTTTGAAAGAAATCATCTCAGTGTTTATTTGAACTACAGACTTTCAATAAAAGCTATACTCGAAAGAACAATTAATAGCAGGGAGGCAAGAGTTAAACAATGATACAAGTAAGAATTAACTCTTTTAGTCCCAGGAGAATTGCTCAAGGAGGCAATAGCCACCACCATAAGTGCATTAATTTAAAAGTGGTTGCAAACATTGGAAAAACCCACTGTAGAAGCCAGATTTCTTTAATGTGCTCTGACAAATGTTTAAAAAAAAATGTGGGATGCATTAGTTGATTTTACAGAAATAATGGGAAAGACAAAACACTCGCCTTGCATTCTTTGGGACTGAAAGTTTTAAGATTAAAAGATAGATTAACAGCATACTCAGAGAGTTTATAATCTGAACAAGAAAGAGTGTGCTATTGCAGCCAATCTTCTCTGTGGAAATGGCACCCCATTAAGTGACTGAATTTCATAAGAACTTTTTATTAGTAGTATTACACATTTAAGAATGTTCTGAATACAGTAATGTCAGTTATACCTACAATTTATTAGTCTAATGCAGAACCATTCAAATGGCAGGCTGTCAACCAAAAATGTTGGAAAATGGGGGTTGTCATGAGCCAGAGGCCTGAGCCTCAGCATAGAAAGATTATTAATGCAACACAACTGACAATGATCCACAGACCTCTGAGGCCAGATTTGGTCTGCAGGCCGCCTGTTAAATAGCCCTGCCTTAACAGACAGTAGTCTGGGTACAATTCTAAAAACAAAAATAATTTTAAAAAATACAACTGCAGGATTAGTGAAGCTCCCGAAACACCCAGCCAAATATAAATTAGTATCAGATAAGTTCCAGAATTTTCTAAGAATTGTTTGAGAAGAAGAAGAGGTGACATAGACTTGTACTGCCCATTCCAACTTTCACAGGCCATCCCACCTCAAACGTGTTGTCTCAAAATATGTGAAGGCTAAGATTTCACACCCTAGTAGCAACATCTTTATTCAGTAAAATACCTCCACTGTGATCTCAAGATATTAGAAGACACATAATACCTCCCAAAGTGGAAGAGAAGCGAGAGACTAAATATGTAAGTAAGTAATATATATATCTGACTCATACCACACCGCAGTGTAATTAATTACCTTCTGGAAACAAGAAAACAATGTCATGCACTAACCCCACTGTGCTGCATCATTTGCACACCATTTCACTCTCAGAATAGTGCTGCCAATGACCAGGGGATCTGGCCAACAATCAACACTCAAGGGAAAGGAGAGATGTAATTATAATGAGACTATTACTTTTGCCATTGGAATTGGAACTCTGCACTCACTGCTAATGATGGGGACAGAATATCTATGGGAATTCTTGGAGTGCTGTGAGTTGATTCTTAATTCAATTTTCTCTCTGAGACCAGACTTTGCCGAAGGTTTTCAGCTCCAATGATGATCCAACTATGATTTAACTATCTAAAGTCATATGATTATTGATTGTTCAAAAATGATGTGATAGCTGCAGAGATATCATTTACAGAAAAATAAGAAGAACACCGAAGACAGATAAAAAGCATAATGAAGGCCTCATTAGAGAAATTAGCTCAAGAGAATAAATGGATACCCATATCAGAAGACAATTTACTTTCTTTGGCAACAATGTGGAAGTGAAAACTTAATTACATGGTGACAACAGGAACATTAGAGAGGAAAGGGACAGAGAAAGACCAAGAGAGAAGATGCTGGATTTTTACACCATAGTATGTAAAAATTAGTAATTGTTGGGAATACAAGAGACAGAAGGCTGTGGATAATTATGAATACATGCAGACCTGTTTTAACAGCATTATGTGCCCCTGGGCAAATTTCTTTTCTGAGGCCCCTTCAACAAACACTCACAGAAATTCACAAATGCCTAAGTTATAATTCCTCAGGAGATTGAACAGGTTACTTGGGATTATCGCTGTTGGGGTGCCATCATGGATATGTTTTTGAGGTAGCAGGGATGTTCAAAATTTTAGAAAGCAGTAAGGAAGACAAAAACAGACAGACCGATGGTAATAAAGAGAAACTTACTTCTTAATGGTAAGCTGTAGAACATTTCCTGACTCTCGAACCAAGTCCTGGGCATCGCTGTGTTCCAGGTGGGCGGCCATGACATCACCAATTTTAACTATCACGTCTCCAGAACCTAGTGCTGCCGCTGCCACACTGCCAGGGGTCACCTGCAAAATAGATAATTCAGTTAGACTAATTCGTTGTCAGCTTTCGACAGTGCAGCTTACTACGTCTCTGAATGATACAAATTAAATTAGCTGCAGATCTTCTATAACCATTACATACTTTCTGGTTTCATGCTGACCCTAGTTGATGTTTTTTTTATTACCTCTGTAGTCTTGCCCATTAAGTTTTCTAGTCCCAGTCTCTACTGAATTAGGTATTCCATTGATAAAGACTTTGTCAGTACATTTGGTTGTGTTTGTGTGCATCTTTTCTATCCCATCCACTGAGCTTTCTAATCATTGTGTGTTAATTTTAGCATTGCTTGCAATCAGCTCAACTGCAGTGCCTCCCCCCCCCCCTTTACCCCCCCCCCCCCCCGCTCCCAAATTAAAAAACCATGTTATTGGGCCTAGCACTCCGCCAAAACTTTCCATTCAATGCTGGTTTAAAATTTGGCATTAGTTGGTTGAGGGCCTGTGCTACACTGGGGGCTAGAAAGGCAGAAGAAAAAGAAGAAGAAGGGATTACAAATAAAATACTCTTTACATTTGCTTATGTTTCTGTATTAGTATTAGCTGTCAGCAGGTCCCCAAAATATAGTTGTTGTTTTTCTTATTAATGATTTTTCATAAAAATTTAAAGATCCTTCACGACTTTACAGACTAATTTCAGAATTAAACGAGTAATTATATTGGGACAGTTTATGAGGGGCAGTGTATGCTATGATACAGAAATCTGGCTGCATCAGGCGGCACCGTAAAAAAGGCGGGATACGCATCGAAATCAAAATACAACTGAACATTTCATCTGACAGCGCAAAGTTTTAGGGGCGGCATTTTGAAGACTTGCATCACGCTGAACAAATCTATCACACAGGACTGAGTTGACTAACGTTCAGTAGTTTGCAAGAGGTAGACCAAGAACAACATCGAAGGATAACATCAGAGAAACTCTACATTATCACTATGTGTCTATGGTCAAAGCTGCCAGAAAAGCACGAAGCAGGACCTTGAGGACGTAAAGAAAAAGAAGTTTGCCAAACCTATCTGAACGATAGCAATTCATATTTGTAAAAAGAAATTATGCCTGCTATCAAATGGTCTGCAGCTGATTTCGAACCGGTTTCTGCCTTTCTTCTACTAATACTATATTTACATTTGAGTGAAAGGCATTACAGTTATAATGTTATCAGATTTTCTCTGTGTGTCCGATCCAAAGTCAACGTCTTTTCCTCGCCTCTTGATTCACTGGAATTTGTTTAGTTCTCTACCAAAACTTCACATTAGTGATTATGTCATACAACTTAGTTTTCTCGGTGATGTTGACTGAGTGATTTGAGCACCCGGCTCGTATGTGGAAGATCCCAGTTCGATTTTTGGTAAATGATGCAGATTTATTTTCTGTGGGGTGGTTAAGAAAAACTTGCACAGTTCGTGGTGTCTGCACCAGCTATGTGACCTTAAGTCATCATGCGCATGACCTCCCATCACACCCCCACACCGACCACCACCTAAAAGTGGTAACTACGGGGGAAGGGGGAGGGGGTACAACTCACGAAGTCGGGCACAGAGGTACCGTGGTTGGCGTTCATTCATGCGTCTTAACCTTTAAGAGGCGCTAACCTAAGCTTAAGGGGTGTCAGATTGTTCTGTGTCGACACTCTGACTGGCGATCACATGTGCTCTGTATTACAGGATGTGATCGGCTTAACGACCCCAGAATATTTACAACTGGACCTAACACCCCCCCCCCCCAAGGGTCAGTCTACGTCCCACGAAAGACTGCACTATACGTGTCGTGGTTTCAGAAGTGTTAACATTTTGCGGTAGTACCACGAGATGGGTCTTGGAACAGCGTTTGCTTGATGGTAGGATGTCATGTTGCTGCAGAAAATCAACGCTCCTCTCCTCGTCGGCGGTCAACGCTGACAACTGAAGTAAATTCATTTCGTGCTTGAAGTCCGAGAACACCAGAATATACGCAATCGCTCAAAACAGCCAGTAAAACAACGTGTTCGTCCGCCAACATTTACATAGCAGAATACAACCTGACTCCCCTTTATCTTAGACTAGCGGATCTCACATGTTAAGATGCACGAATGAACGGTCATCACCGTCTTCCTGGGCCCGGCTTTGTTACTAGTACCACTATGGGCAGTAAATATAGTTATTCTGCACAAGCCAGTGAAAAAATGTTTGTAATTTATTAGTAACTAGTTTAGTTGTTTTCCTAGTTCAGCTCCATATAGTGGTAGTGATTTCACATAAAAAGGTAAACATTTTAAGTTTCGTATTTCATATAATATTCGTGTAGGCCTACGATCTGTTTATTCGCAAGATGTTTATAGCAACTACAGATTAGATGTGCAAGTGTTCACAATTGTCCACAGACAAATCAATATGTCTGTGTTAAGAGTATGTGTGATATTTGTTACTTTATTGATATGGCTGATACAGCAATAAAGTGTTATTCAGGACACTTCTAGTCAGGGTAAACAGATTACGAGGGTGCTTAAGGGGTTAAGGGAGAAGGGGGGGGGAGTAGATACTAGAGCACTAGAAGATAGCACTAGAAGATAGCAAATGTGAAACTTGTACTTGTAGGGAAATAAAGAAAGCAAGAATGAATTAAAGAAAGAAAGAAAGAAAGAAAGAAAGAAAGAAAGAAAGAAAGAAAGAAAGAAAGAAAGAAAGAAAGAAAGAAAGAAAGAAAGAAAGAAAGAAAGAAAGAAAGAAAGAAAGAAAGAAAGAAAGAAAGAAAGAAAGAAAGAAAGAAAGAAAGAAAGAAAAAGAAAGAAAGAAAGAAAGAAAAGAAAGAAAGAAAAGAAAGAAAGAAAGAAAGAAAGAAAGAAAGAAAGAAAGAAAGAAAGAAAGAAAGAAAGAAAGAAAGAAAGAAAGAAAGAAAGAAAGAAAGAAAGAAAGAAAGAAAGAAAGAAAGAAAGAAAGAAAGAAAGAAATGGCAAGCATAACTGTACACAAAGCTGGATAATTTAGAAATATGTCGAGCGGCACACGTCAGCTCGATAAAGTAAAGTAAATCAGTTAACAATAAAGTTATTAAATATTTAAAAAAAAAAAAAAATCATGCACATTATTGAACTGTCAGAGCTGTGTCTAGAAGAGTGAACTCAGCCCCACCAGGACCGCACGACTAGCGATAAACGCACGGTGACACAAAGTACCACCATTCGGAAATGAATTCCCCCCCCCCCCCCCCCCCCCCAACCTCCTGTTTTTTAAGCTCAATTTCGAGAAACCTCATTCAACCGTTAGGTTAAATCAGAGCTCCAAACGACAGCCTAGGTGGCGCTTTAAAACAACAAAAATGCGCCCCACAATGGGAAGGGAATAATGTCTAGAAGAACGTATCAGCACGTTCGAATCAATTAACAACTGATAACAGAAATTGGGTTTTCATTTCTGAATTAACAAAACTACGTAATACCAAGCACAATTACAGACAATACTGGATACTTTAGAAATCTGTGGGGGCAAATGTTAGCTAGATCGTTTCACAGAAATCAGAAAATAATGGGCTAAGGCTGTCTTAATAGACAAAAAAATAAACCTAATTGAAATAATATAATACATTTATATCTTCTTCTTCTCGTTCACCGACTGTAAACTCCGGCGGAAAGTTATGTAATGAGTCTGAGTGTTGAGTGCACATCCGTTTTACAGATTGGACTTACGTGTATGCATATTGTTGGTTAACAGCCTTTCAAAGAAGCTCCCAATTAGCCAACTCTTACAACATGCTTGTTGGGGAGGCAGTGGGTCTGTTCTTGTTTCCCCTACAATGGATCCCGGAACCCACACGGGGATTATTTACTTATACATAAGCTGGATGAATTGTTCCTGGTAAACACGATCTGCACGATCGTACTAACGCTTTCGGCGCCAAGAAACGCATCAAATGTGATCAGCTATTGTCTGTGTATATAATACACCAAATGGTGTGTAATTATTTCAATTACATTCGGTCTGAACATATAAAGAAATCTGGTTTAATATTTCAATATGCAGTACATCACATGTTGCCAGTTGCCAAGTAAGAAACTGGTTCTCTTTCACGGTGGTTACTGTTTCATGTGGGTTATGGGTTTCTTTTGGAAAATATGGGACTGAGAGAGTTAAGAACAGTAGATGAGAAAAAGAAACATAAGATAGTGAATGCTGAATAAACAAAAACATCTAAATACCACTCCTAATTATATACAAAGCTGGGTAATGTAAAATCCATTACTCGATCAGTTTGTCCCTTTCCGACTGCTACAAAGGGGTTTACAATTATTGCACCCGTAACGACTACACCGGCCTATTGTAACCTGCAGTCGTGTGTGGATAAGGACGATCCTTAGATTAGGGGCTATCAACCTGTGATCGTGACCGGTTTGGGGTTCGAACGACCCTTTCACAGAGGTCGCCAAAGACCATCGGAAAACACACATTCACTGAAGTTATGAAGTAGCAACGAAAATAATTGTATGGTTGGGGGTCACACAACATGAGGAATTGTACTAAAGTGTCGCGGCATTAGCGATGTTGAAAACCGCTGCCTTAGACATATATATATATATATATATATATATATATATATATATATATATATATATATATATATATATATATATATATATATATATATATATCTTAGTGCGTATGTTAACACGATCGTATTAACTCTTTCAGTCCCAAGGAACGCGTCATACGCTCATACGTTCCTACATAGAAGCACAATGATATCAAGAGCGTTAATTTTACGGCCTCTGATGCTAAACCCCCTGGGACTGAAAGAGTTGAATACATATGTGATGCTGAAAATCCCCTCCAAAAATATTGAAATACAACACCTAATTATCTACACAAATCTGTGTACCATAGAAATATATCTAAGTGAACACGTCAACGCTTTTGTAGCAAGGCAAAAAAGC